TGGGGTTTCGTCTTGTTGAGAGAAATAAAACAAGGCACATTCTCGTTTATCCTGAGGATTATTAAAACTTTGTGGACGATTAAAACAATTGCAATGTCTTTCTGTTCCTCTGGAGGTCTACTGAGAGTGTCTACAATATGGTTGTTGAAACCTCTTATTGGGTTATTTACTAAAGTGAGAATTGCCTGGAATTCAAAGCGAAAATAGCCAAATTAAAAAAAGAATTGACTTAAATAATTATTCTAATTCAGCATTTTTGGACAATACTCTAAATTCGAATTACTCCCTGCGCCTTCTTCACCAGGATCCACTGAATGGTTTTCCAATACAAATGAAATAAACACATTATGGAACACCTACGTGCCAGGAACAGGTGAGTACTGCAGAGTAGAGTTGCCAGGTTTTTAAAAGTCTTGTGAGTTTCAGTGAGCTATCTGTTTAGGTGCAGCAAGAAGAATGCAACTACTCAGCAATGAGTACTGCTGTTTGTTTGTATATAACTAATAACTAAATCGAAGTTGCCAGATAATATTTTGTCCCCCCTTTCTCCAGCACCCATTTGTGCCCAAGGTCACAGACAACCAGCCATTGAGGGAACTGGTGGCTGAGGTCTTGGCTGAAGTGACGGAGGAAGAAGGGAACCCGAAGACGAATGGTCATGAAAATGTGGTGAGGTTTACATTATTTTGAAGACCAACAACTCTTAGTTATTAGAGACAAATCACAGAACTATGACCATATGTATGCTAGCTATGTAAAATGTAGATAACCAAGCATTCAGTGGAACATAAGACAGTCTAGTTCGATGTACCTGTTGTGTGTATATGTTTTGATTCCATTTCATGTACAGTATATAATTAATAAAGACAGAAAAAGGTAGAAAAGGGAGACTAGTGAACAATGCATTGCATAAGACGTGTACAGTTTAAATAATGTATCCTTATCGTTGAAAATGTTCAAACATTATCATGAAAGGTGAATACATCTTATCTATTATATATAGCTATAGTTATAATTACATTTAGATATTTTCTAATCTCCACAGAATAATATTCCATTTACCTGTCACAACAAAGAAAAAAGTGTGGGGTACATCAAACATGAAGATGTTTCTTCAACGAAACATAACAATCGATATACTGGAGTAAATAGATGTGGCCTAGAAGGGGCTCAATCAGAAAAGCTAGTGAAACCTATGGATCAAGATGCACCATTGAGAGCACGTAGAGGGTCCAGCTTCCTGAAACAGATGCGCAGACGGTCCGCTCCCATATTTGCAAGGGAGCATAGACCATCTATAAAGTGGAAGCTTGATAATGAGCTTAAAGGAGAAAAGCCTAAGGAATATCATGAAGAGTTGAAGGAGCAAACATTGCAAAATGTTCCTGCAGGGTCAAAACATTCTGAACTGCATCTTCTTTCAAGGACTTCACAGGAAAAAACTGAAGTGAAGATGGATATTAAAGAATGGTACCATAAAGATGTGGATGTTAGTGATGCTGTACAGTCAGACTCCCTCCCTCCAATTTGTAGGGAAAATGCAGAAATCAGTGGAGATGAGGTGGGCCAGGAGAGCATATGTAAAAATAATGCTTCTGAAAGCCACATAAATGAGGACAAATCACTTCCCTGCTATGCATCCCCAAGAAAGTTGAAATTAAGATGTAGAAGTCATGAAAACCTACACATTTCCAAGAAATTATTTAGAAGATGGACAGTGCCAAGGGACAACAAAGTAAATGCATGGAAAAGTTCAAAAACAAAATTAAGCAATGGAGTGGAACACAGCGAGACTGATGGAGATAAAGTAAAATTTTTGCGTAGCAAAGTTGATTGTCAAACACTCAGGACTTCTGAACATTTGGAATCTAGTTCTATCAAGGATAATGAAGATCCCTTGGCTAAAAAGTCCAGGAAATCAACTGAGGGGACTGTTCTACTTTACACCACTGAAGCTTCCTCAATTTCGAGGGAAGCTAGAGCCTCAGTAAAATGGATGGTCAACAGAGAAGATATAGGACTGACTCCTAGAATTCTCCAGGACTCTTCTACTAAGTCACCAAGTTTGAAATTTCCTCAGTGTGGTAGTCTTACTTTTGTAGCAGCAGGTGGCATTACAGAGAAAGAAATTATTGATGAAGGAGGTATGTGCTCACATTGTATAACAAGTAAAAATAATACCATTAAAGATAAACTGAATCAGGATTTACCACTTAAGAATGTAAGTGAATGTGAAGTAGATAAAACAAAGGAAGCAGACATTGTCAAGGGTTCACCATGGAGAAGTAGTGAAAATCTATGTATTTCTTCCAGGAAGTTATGTAGGAGGTGGTCAGTGCCAAGTACAAGGTACAAACTAATCACAAAAGTCCAGACCGGTGAAAAAGACACAGAGAACAAAATGGAGCAATTTTATATATTGTCAGGCAAATTGACCAATGCACATACTGTAGAAAAGAAAGTAGTTAGGACAACTCAAAGTTTTGGTTCAGGCTACACTGAGAAGAGAGAGGCAACCACTGGAGAGAGAGGCAGGAAAGATGACCTCACCTCATTTATGCACAGGAGAGATGGACATAAAAAAAGATTGCACTTTGCTCGATGTTCATGGTCTGTTCATCTCAATGACTCCAATGGAGTAGTAAATCTGCCAAGACAAGAGGAGTCAACAGACAAAGAAGAGGAAACAGTTGACTTGGACTCGGATAAAGGCCTTAATATGCAGGTATGAGGATTTGTTTCATATTCACAAAATCACTATTTGGAAATAGCATACCTATGAATGCGGAGATAATGGGCATTGGAGTGATAGTCCAAATGGAAATAACAGTAAAAAAATAAAAATAAAACAACAATATAAAGAGGTGGAAAAGGGTGACAGGGAAATCCTGAAATAAGTACAAAATGATAGTTGAGTAAATTATTACAATCCAGGGATGAGCAATGAGGCAAGGATATGTAATAAATAAAAGTATAACCTTGAAGTGGTGCAAGAACAAATACAAGAGGCAAATGGATACTGTTAAGGAAAAATGATGATGGTAAAGTGGATAATTTATAGTATTTTAAGTTAAAGCAGTCTGAAGATATAAACATAATTTAATGAGCAAGTGTTGGGTCAGAAACTATTTTGCCTTCAAATGAAATAGACAGGAGTATACAGGCATACCCCGCTTTACATACCCTCACTTCACGTACACTCGCGAGTACAGACATACCTGCGAGTGTACGTAAAGGTGCCTCGCGAGTACAGACATTCCCGCGCCTCTTCTGTCCGTGAGTGAACAGGAAATGGCAGGTTCTATTCTCGCCCAGAGCAGCTCAGTTCAGTGTCATTGGGGCAAGAACTTATCACACCTTCTGACATGAGCAATTTAATGAGCAAGTGTTGGGTCAGAAACAAAGATTTAATTTTTTTTAAATCTTTATTTTGCCTTCAAATAAAATAGACAGGAGTAAACTGTAATAAGGGTTGAGGAAACATAGAGGGCTGCATTTATTTTAGAAAGAGTAAGGGTTTACTGTGCTTACTGAAAAGTAATGTTCCCATATATTTCAATGGAGGAATTGTTATTCAGTGAGCAGAGTAAATCCTTACTCTACTAAGAGAAGGCTGCCCATTATATTTAACATGACTAAATATTATATTTTTAGAAGAAACATACTGAGAAGCATTTATCGTGATGGCAGATACAAGAGAGTTTTTCCTATCTAGTCATATGAAATGTAGTCCATGTCATTTGGATTGGGAAAAGCTTACTAATCTATATGTTGAAAGGAATGAAAGAATGAGAAAGGGCAGCCTTTCAGCTTTTGGGAGGAGCAGCATGCAACAGCACTGAAGGAGACTCAGCGCTGGAGAAAAGGTGAGTAGATAGGTTTTTTATACTGCACACCAGAGGGGGGTCAGTGAGGGATAAACTAGCTAGGGACAGGTTTTCTATAGCACTAGGAATACAGATTAAGTATACTATGACGTTAATGGTTAGAGAAAGTGTAGTGAATAATGAAATATAGCATATGGGCATAGTTCAAGTTCACATTTATTGGTGTCTTGGTTCTTTTAGATGCCCATCTGTATATGCCTCCTAGTAATTAGCTTGTCTATGTTTTATAACTGCCAGGACATAAAGCACAGGGCATTTACAAATGTCAAACAAAAACATAAGGAAGCTGCCATGATTTGTCATACAGTTTGGTGCCACTGCCTACTATACACAATAAGGTGGTAATTGCTATACCTAAATGAGTGGACTTTAGAATTTTATGAGCTGCAGGACTATCATTTGACATAGCAAACCATAATAATTTATTACTCAAATTAAGTATAATTTTGTAAGTCAATGTGGTCTACAGCAGGAGGGAAATCTACCTACTGAACAAAAGGACAAACAAACTATATGGATTACACGAAGGTTCATTGT